TGGTCTTCAGTAACCCATGCTTGTCGTTAGAGGCGACTAACGGGATCAGGTGGTCAGGCTGACTTGATTGACACATGTCATCGTATCCCAATGGCGTAGATCGATGCTCATGCTGATAATCACCGAATGCTCATGCTGGTAATCACTGAATCGTCTGGTCCAGACTCGAGTATTTACGGATGGCTGCCTACTGAAGTTTGGTTTTAATACAATAGCACCCACAAATTCAGGATTTACATTAATGATGTGATAGAGGTAGAAGCTATGCAAGAATTACATACATTGATGTCACTAAACCTTGTCAAACATAATTTTAGAAATGCTCAACATTCTACTGAATGTCATCGTGTCCCAACAATGTAAATCGATGCTCATGACGTCTGTCACTGGATTGTCTGGTCCGATTATTTACAGACATACAACTGGAATGTTGCTGAGTGCGGCGTTAAACAACAACAAACTACAGTGTGTACTTCTATAGGCCGTCAGTGATATGCAGTCTCTCCTTATCGGGATATCACTGTGATACCCGTGACCCTAATGGTGAACAGCCATTTGACCAGTGCTCTAGCCAAGGAGAACCATGACACAACAGTATATCAACACGTTCTAAACGAAAATTTAAATATTTCGACAATAACAGTTGGAGGGTTTGTAAGGTCAAAATATATATTTCATTAAACTGCTTTTGTGCACTTTGACGTTTGAGTATATTTGTGTCATTGAACGCATTTCTTACAAAAAACCTGATCGAGTTGAAGAAATACCTACAGATTAGATTACAGGTAAGACAATACATATGTGACAAAGTACACACGGGTCACGCAACACAGACAGCGTGCTAGATTACCTTGACATTCACGGGTCTCAAGTGTGAGGTCAAGGTCATTTTAGTGCGCCCCATCTTATTTGTTCATGAAGCTTATACACAAAATGTTAACTTAAGACGGTCGTCTTTTATTGACAGGTTAAAGTCTTTAAACCATTAGAAACCGAGTGTCACAAAAGGCAATGGCGTGGTGAAACCTTAAGCATGTAAAGAGTGAAGCAGTTGTGAGTCTGTGACCCTATTTCAGCCATTTCAAGACACAATTAAAACGATGTTCTAATATGTTTTGGTATATACTGCACAAGACAATTACAGCAAATACACAAACCAAAGTGATAGGTACAAAAACATTTTCAATATACAAAAATCTACTTTTACCACAATATTTCTGGGCCAATATATATTCTCAGTGACCACTGCTTGATGTAAAATTATTTGTGAACCTCCATACCTTCAAGGATATATATGTTTTTCCGATGTCTTGTGTTAAATAACACACAGATATATTGCACTAATTATTATAAGAGCAATTTGTCATAATGATGTAACGATACGAGTCATGGAATTCTTGTATTTGCCGAGCGTTAGCGAAGTGATACATGAATTCTTACACGAGTCTTCCAGTCTTGACTATATGTGTATTTCACCTAATTCATCACCTCAGAAGAAGGCAGAACAAAACATGAACATACAGCTGGTTCTTTGTAGCATATATAGTCTTATCGTCGCCTTAGAAATGGTTCAGATAGGATATGTGGGCAATTGTGAAAGCTGAGAAAACATGCAGTTGGTTAACTGTATCATAGAATCTGGACTGTAACGATAAACGTTAACATGTCTTCTCACACGAAACATGAATTATTGGGAAAATGAAGGATTTAAAATTATTGTTTTTTGTCACGCTTATTATCAGCACGTGGTGTATGACACATGTAAACGTGTACTGTTTGTATTGTCCTGGAAAGTATATCAGTTGTATCTTGGCTTAGATCTAGACTTTAACCACATTTGCGAATCCAATGTGCATCGATATGGAGCTGACAAACGTAAACATATAATCACGTACCATCATATTGGATGGGCTTGTTTAATCTCCATTGGATAACATAAGCCTGTTCCATGTTGTAGTACTTCACTCTTGCTAGACAGCGTCATTGTAATCTATACCGAATCATCGCATTATTATACAATACAGAAGTCATTACCCATAAGGTGTGTTATCTTTATTGTCCAAAAGGGAGAATACATGCTGTTAACAGTCAGCTGCATTTGTGTTATGATATGCCGGTCTGTGATCAGCTGAATCATCATCATCATCATCATCATCATCATCATCACACCACCGTCACCACCATTAAACGGATTAATAATCTATATGGGGTGATTCTGGCACACTCAGGCAGGTTAGGCTTATTATCAGCTCACGACGCAGACCGGACACACCATTGAACCAAGTAGTGTATCTATCATGTAGTGCATTACGACTACATTTGTTACACACACAGGGGGAGACAGAGACAGAGGAGACATGGACAGAAGGAAAAAGAGAGGGAGGGAGAAAAAAACAGATAGAGGAGGAGGGAGAGGGAGAGAGACAAAGAGGAAGAGAGCGAGGAGATAGACAAAGACGGAGGAAGAGAGAGAAGGACACTTAAACAAAGAAGGAGAGTGAGGAAGAGAGAGAGAGAGGAAGAGAGCGAGGACATAGACAAAGACGGATGAAGAGAGAGAGGGACACTTAAACAAAGAAGGAGAGTGAGGAAGAGAGAGGAAGAGAGCGAGGAGATAGACAAAGACGGAGGAAGAGAGAGAGGGACACTTAAACAAAGAAGGACAGTGAGGAAGAGAAACAAAGAGGAAGAGAGCGAGACAAAGAGACGGAGGAGGAGAGGGACACTTAAACAAAGGAGTGAGGAAGAGAGAGAGAGGGAAGAGAGCGAGGAGATAGACAAAGACGGAGGAAGAGAGAGAGGGACACTTAAACAAAGGAGAGAGAGGAAGAGAGAGAGAGGAAGAGAGCGAGGAGATAGACAAAGACGGAGGAAGAGAGAGAGGGACACTTAAACAAAGAAGGAGAGTGAGGAAGAGAGAGAGAGAGAAAGAGAGCGAGGAGATAGACAAAGACGGAGGAAGAGAGAGAGGGACACTTAAAAAAAGGAGAGAGAGGAAGACAGAGATAAAGGAAGAGAGCGAGGAGATAGACAAAGACGGAGGAAGAGAGAGAGAGGGACACTTAAATAAAGAAAGAAGGAGAGTGAGGAAGAGAGAGAGAGGGGGAGAGAGCGAGGAGATAGACAAAGAAGGAGGAAGAGAGAGAGGGACACTTAAACAAAGAAGGAGAGTGAGGAAGAGAAACAAAGAGGAAGAGAGCGAGGAGATAGACAAAGACGGAGGAGGAGAGAGAGAGGAGAAGAGAGAGAGACACTTAAACAAAGAAGGAGAGAGAGGAAGAGAGAGAGAGAGAGAGAGGAAAAGAGCGAGGAGATAGACAAAGACGGAGGAAGAGAGAGAGGGACACTTAAACAAAGGAGAGTGAGGAAGAGAGAGAGAGAGAGGGGAAGGTGTTATGTGGCAGTGTCATTCATTGTGTAACATTGTTTCAAGAGTAGTATACTGTTTATGTGGATGGTCAGTGAGGGGTCGTGTTGTGTTTTATGTAGACAGAGTTCTGGGAGGTACTACAGGGTACTACCACCGTATAGGCGGTTCCACTATATTCTGACCCAGGGAGTAGCAGAATCTTCTGGAGAGTTAACTCTTGCCACTCATCTCACATTTCATCTCAAGTTACAAGAAGACCAGGAATTGTGTGGAGATCATATTTACCCTGGATACTACATTATGTTGCTATCATCACTCAATTCGAATATACTGCCTCTGAATATACTGCCATTCTACTTTGTACTACCACTGCCATACCTTTGTAGTGATTTGTCTTCATTTGTAAACTTAGTTAATTTTAGGATACATTTGTTAATAATATCACATTGCATTTTTGTTTGTTTGTTTGTTTCGCACCTACGCTTTGTACGTACTGATTCCTGGCTAAATTTTCGTTTCAACTTGGGAATCAACAGGTGATAGAGAGGTTATTATGTTTGTGTGTCTGTGTGTATCTCTACCTGTGTGTTTGTGTGAGCGGGGGAAGGGGATAGGGGTGTACACAAGTATAATTAGGTTATTCATATGCTCTCTTCGTTCTCTCGGAAACACCAAACACGAATTACTCAGTCACCCAGTTCTTATATTCGCTCGTGATTGGTTTATAACAGTCAGTATTGACATTACCGATTACCTACATATCGTGTTTTGTTTAACTGGTGACTGAATCGTGTCTTGTTTATATACCCTGAAAGGATTTAGTAAAGGATTAAAACCAGGAGACATCTGATAGGTACTTGTCAATGATCTGCACCTATACGGAGTATTGTAAGCGTTAGCGTATGGAATACTGTAGGGACCATTTTCAGGATCTTGACCTGTGCATGTGGAAACAGTTTCAGAACGCCGGGTTTCTTTCTAATACATAGTAGTTCTATGTCCCTGATTCCTGGCTAAATTGTTTGTTTGTTTGTTTCGCATTCTAATCAAATCCTCAGTCCCTCTCGGAAGTTGAGAATGTGACATTTTACGACTTGTCAAATAAGACCACAAACCCAAGGCGAGATATCATGCTTTCACGACGTATTTTAACAAAACGGCATGATAGCCGTAGATACTTGCATGGACAGAAACATTCCCATCACAGCCATATCCTCAACCCTCAGAGTCTCACAACACCACCACGTACTGCATGTACCAAAAGTAACTTACTCCAAGGCGCCTAACACTTACCCAAAATTCCAGTGTATCACAAAGAGGCATAGCTACGAATGTTTAAGCTTCATGCGTATGATAATCGTAGCGCTGGGAACGTTTGTGAAACGGTGTGAGGATTGTACAATAAGGCTGACCAACATAAAATGGCAATACATTATGCAATCACATCACAAAGAAAATTTCACACATTGAACTTTGATAGACAGACCACCAACAGAAAACATACATATGCTCGATCCCTACTTTCTACAATGCAATACACCCAACAAAGGTGTCCCTTTCAGCAACCCATAGTATCTGAATGTTTGAGAGGGTGTTCCTCATAAACGGGTACGTGAATGTCTTTGTGAAATGTAAAGACTCATTCTGTGACAAGCTTCCAGCGATAATGGCGAAGTTACTGCTTTTCGTAGTTTTGGCTGCGCTCACCATTGCTGTCATCACAGGGGTGAGGTTCGGTGACAGTAAGTATATGTTTGTTTGTTTGTTTTCCATTCTAATCAAATCCTCAGAAGTTTACATGTGCGCCCCTACCGTTGCCTTTACTTAACAAATTACGTATCCACGTACAAATTTCAAACTGGACAATCGTACTGATAAGATGTCCCGTTCTAATTACACTTTGTATACATAGGACTGACTGACTGACTGAGTTTGGTTTTACGCCGCTTTTAGCAATATTCCAGCAATATCACGGCGGGGGGACACCAGAAATGGGCTTCACTCATTGTACCCATGTGGGGATTCGAACCCGGGTCTTCGGCGTGACGAGCCAAGGCTTTAACTACTAGACTACCCCACCGCCCCTATACATAGGAAATATACAGCTGAGTTGCAGTTATTCCCGTGCAAGATCTTTCAGAAGAACATTGCTATATTATTTGTACATCAACATTTTTACTGGATTTCAAATCATAGAACTAAATTATAGCAATTATAACCAGTGTACGAGATAGGCCGTTTCCCGTTGGCTCGTGGCAAGTAGAATTTGTGTCGGGGCCGTTTTTTCAAATTTGTATGGTTAATTCTCGACTTCAGCAGACATTGAAATGATATGATTACATGGTTTTATGAAAACATCTATCCACACAGTTGTATTAAGGTGTCTCGTCGTGTACATTCCCTGTGAGAAATGTTTGCAGAGTAACCTCAGTACTTGCTTCAGACATTCACATCAAGCCACTTTAATCTTTTTCTATACGAGTGCTTTGCCCTTTAGTTAGAAACTCAACAACCAGTAAATCGCTGAAACTCACTTCGCCATTATTATTGCTAGGGCTGGATATTGCTCTGATTCACATATTGCGATACGTGCGGCTGCTTGTATTAGCCCTGACTTAAGCTGGTTTTATAGTGATGCCCACTGAGATACCATTTAAGAGATATTGCAATACATATTGTGATATATTGACTGGAAGGTCTTTTTTGACGCGGTCGGGGTCCATGTGCGTACATCATAAATTCACAATAGCTCTCTGTGTGCGACATCATCTTCTTAGTTGCTGTTACACCATACCTTCAGGCTCCCCGCTCCCACTGTGTATGGCTGTATGAAAATGGTTTACAGATACATAAAATGATATAGAGCGTTTATGTAGAATGTTTAATTGAAGTACTGTATTGCAACAAAGTTTTGCGAACATAATTAAAAGGTAATAGTATAACATGATTTTCATGGTCAGTGTTGTTTGATTCAACAGAATGCACTTCAATGCAGTATGTAATTATTGTAAATGTATGTCAGTGATTCATTCAGATTCAGCTCAAATATAAACACGTGTTAACATGAACTGTTGCAAAATGAAACAAAAACATGATTTTGATGAACTACTTGAGCTTGAAACGTCATGTGACCTCCAATAGCTAAGATCCTTGACAAGAATGTCATTTTACAGTCGTACAAAACAAATAAGATTTGGGACTTTTTGATAAATTGATAACATATGTCCCATTATAAAACAAATTGGTCACTCAGAACCAGAAGCTCTACTAATAAATCCAAATCAAAGATTGGTCAAATCTTCGAAGGGCATTTAGAAGTGGAATGCATGAGAAAGCAAGATTTATGGATATCAACTTCTTTGTTGTGAATAGCACGACGTTTCGGAATGTATGCTTACTCCTTCATGACCTGATGAAGGAGTGAGTGAACATACATTCCGATACGCCGTGTTATTCACAACAAGAAGTTGGCATCCTTAAATCTTGCTTTTCTTAAAAGATGGGTCCATTTGAGGCCTCTTAATTCATCCAAAACGTCACATATGAAACCATTCAAACCCACAAAACGTGAACCATTTGGTAGAATATTGGGAACCTTTAGAACCACTTATAAAGACACTTCCACTTGTAAAATGTTACAAGAAACCAACAGAAATTAAAGTACATGTATATTTGGCACTTTTAGAGCACATTTTATTGCTATGGAAATCAAGGGCACATTATTCAAAGGGAGCTAAGTCTGAATGACCCAATATATTGCAGAATCTGAACCATATCGCGATAATCGTATCGCGAGATACTGTACCGGTATATACCGGTTTACCGGTAATATTGCACAGCCCTAATTATTCCCAATATTTGCCGCAGGTTGTCCCCCGAACTGCCGTGAGACCCAGTGCTCTTTTATGGGATGTCTGGACTGTGACCTGGGCTTCTGCCATTATTCCGGGGAAGGAACCGGGTGAGAGGAATACAGCAGATATCTCTGCTTCTCGTTAGATATCAAAACAAGACTTCAGAAATGGACTTCACATGTGCAAACCGTGGAAGTGGCAAGTGAACGATTTGACCAAAAGATCGCCTCATCGCCATTGCCTGACGGATACCAGGACGAGGGACACCACAAATGGGCTTCCCACAGTCTTTAATGGCTGTTTCGAAATAATGACAAGACAGTCGAAAGTTCACCACTCTTGCAACTGAAGTAATTGATATTCGGGGTTGTGGTGGGTGGTGGGGTAGCCTAATGGTTAAAGTGTCCGCTCGTCATGCTGAAGACCCAGGTTCGATTCCCCACATGGGTACAATGTGTGAAGCCGTGCCGTGCCGTGATACTGTTGGAATATTGCTAAAATATTGCTCACTCACACTTAAGTTATTTCTTTAACGGTTTAGTAGATACGCATGTTTAATTTAAATAAACAGATAAAGTTTCATATTATGCGGTTTCAAATCTACGATAACATGTCTAAATTCACAGATGATTGATCTACAGATGGCAATATCCTATATATTTTGTCCTACAGTAAATTCACGTGCGTCAAGAAGTGCCCTGCAGGAATGTACTGTGAAAGTACCCATCGCCTTTGTGTTAACGGTAAGTTCTCAATAAACCTTATGTACATTCTTGTCATCGCATAATTTTCGGTACATAAAACATGTCCTGCATACAGTTTCGCTTGTAGACTCTGAGGCAAAGTATCTCATTTCGTGTATTTTGTTGAACTAATTAACGCCTTCACCGGCATATTCACAATGTGAACATCCGGGAAAACAAAGTGCACTTAAAATAATATATGACGAAAACATTACAAAAGTTTATAAAATGGTGCTTACTTGAAAACAAATCAGAGAAACACTGAAATCAAAGACGAAAATCGAAAAGATTCTTTTCCAAACATTAAACGTTACTACAATAAGTGTTCCTAATGTGAAATGGGTTCTTTAACTGTGTCTTCTCTCAAGACGTCTGTGTCTTGTGTACTGCGAAGTGCAGTGTATGTTATGTATATATATACGGATACATCGAAGATGAATTTCTCCACTAACTCAAAGGAACCATCTGCAAATCGTGCATCAGTTTTTTAAAAGCATGTGCAAATATCGTGGATGTGAACAGCTGCGTTTTGGTGTAAAGTTTTGTTAAATAATTGTTTCAACGTTACGAATTTGTTTTACAGTACATCAGTTTATGTGTAAACAGTACCTTGAAACATTATGAAATATTTAGCAAAGTCTAGTTCAGAACAGTTGCCTGAAGTATGTGGCTATATTTACACTAGTGAGTCTAACTTTTGATGGGTAGTATTCATACCCCACATACGCTGCTTTCTCTTGCTTCCAATTCTTGTGAAATATTGCTGACAACGGCATAAAATACCATTCACCCTGAGTCGTTAGATCCACGTTTTATGTCCTTGTGTTTTCTTTGTAGATGAGTGAGGCAAACACCGGGTGTCAGATTCAAGGCAAGCCGAAGGAACCTCTGAATATTGGGCTGCTGACACTGGTTATTATTGACAGCTGATCTGTATAAATGTAAGATTAGATCACGAAATAAATTGATGCATTGAACACAAGGTTTGGAAATGATTTAGACACAGATGTAAGGTAATAGCAGTCTCAACAGGGAGAACTCTCCTTGTTCGCTAGTCACCTAGCACCAATGGAAACCTGATACATGCAGTGAACAAAGCGTTCAACATTACTGCACACACAAGGAAGAGTGCTGCTTGTAGTATATTGTGCTGGAGAATTCACATGACATGCCCACTCATTATACTGGCACAAGGGAAACTACTGCGGCTGTTCGTGAAACCAACTGACAACCTTTATACATCAAATAGCTCTGCTCCTCGTGAGATATCAGTACAGGAGACAGCAGAAACGGACTTCACATATTCACACCATGGAAGTGGCAAGCCAACGCTTTATACACAGGTCACAGCTTCAACATGGCGCCTTGACGGTTACAAATAATATGGAAGTAATTCATTTGATTTCCTATCGGTTTCATATGTTTATCATTGAGAACCATAGCAAGTGACTGGGTGGAGTTGAAGAAATACCTACAGATTAGATTAGATATACATGGAAAATACTTATCAGACAAAGTACAAAAAAGGTCAAATTCCAACACTGGGTGGTGGTCAAGATTAACTTGGTCAAGGTCAGGGTCATTTCTGTTGGTCCGATTCCACACACGACATTAATGTGTGAATCCTATTTCTGCTGGGACGTAATACTCTTGATCTCTGTTGATCAAGTCTATAGAAGGCTGGGTTTCTATAGCTATGAATACACCGTGAAAATGAAACAAGTGTTACATATTACACTGTCTCAGTAAAGTAATTCCTTTTGTTTGATATTTAACGCCACACTGAGCAGTATTCAGGCGGTCTGTAAATAATCGAATCTGTACAATCCAGTTATCAACATCATGAGCATCGATCTACGTAACTGGGATTCGATAACGTGTGTAAATCAAGACAGCGAGTCTAGAAGTCTCACGACAAGCATGGGTTGTTGAAGACCATTTCTAACTCGGATCTAGACTGGTTAATACTTGGTATTTCCAATACACTTTAAGGGCTTTAGTCCCATTCATTATTCGCACCCACAAATCGCCACAATCGCGATCCAACAACTTGACCACGTACTTTGTGGAACTTTGTTGCACTCCTCTGATGAATGTATGTCCGAGGGCTATGTATACACACTGACGTCACATGGTCAGTTGTTACACGAGTATGCAGGTTTATATATTCTGAGTAAAGTACAAAATACACTTTGTACAACGATATATTCTGTAACGTCATTCTTACAACTCTCTCCCATGCTGGAGATGGGTGCAAAACAGATGGTATTGACTTAACATATTATCGACATACAGTGTTTACCTCAACTGGGGACTTATGCCATGCCTCGTTTACATACGCCTCTAAAACTAGAACACATCTAGTAGTTATACATTGCCAATCATCTACGCTATATATACTCAGTGATCTACATTTATGAGCAAGGCTATATGTAACTCATCACAGAGCGAGAAAAGGTGAGGGCAAGGTAAAAACCGAAATAACGCAGAGCCGTAGCTGTCAAAAAAGAAGTCAAGCGTATGTAGGTATTCTGGAACAGCCCAACACAATGTAATCTTGAAAGTATGGAATACTGTAAAGACCGTTCTCTGGATATTGACCTTTGGAAAAGTAACTCGTATGCAAAGATTGCGAATGTGTAGAATATGCATGGAAAGATTATCGTAGCAAAGATTTAGGGAAATAAAGCCAGATGTATTTCAACACAATTTATTATAGTTTCCGTCAAACATGACACCATGACTGAATGGAAACTCACGCACAACGTTAACGATACGTCTCCCCATTCCTATTTCTCTTGGTTTGTATGGAAACGAAAAGGAAATATCAAGAGGCACATTGTCAGAATGAACGTGATTACTTCCATGTCACATTTATGCTTATACTATCTCTGAATACACGACAGTTTCCTTCCTAATATAATAACATCCCGCATACTCGTGTGAGTGAACGCGCCATTTTGTGAAACGTGCGTACCGATAGTGATGTCATATATAAGTAAACATTGTTATGCATTGTTGTATTTGATAAACCCATTGAATCGAGGTTTATGAAACTACACATGATGAATGTATCTTTCGGCTTAAAGTTTCAATTATAGTGAACCTTTCTTAGTTTTTACATACTTGTCCATCCTATTATTTCCTGTGGTATTGCTTTGGGATAAGACAGGAGACCTTTCAAAATCAAATTGTGACCAATTCCGTCATAATCTAAGGGGATGGGGGGGGCAACTCTGGCCCGTTAAGCTAAAAAAACTAAATCAATACTGCTAAAGCGGCGTAAACCCATACTCTCTCGCTCACTATTATGACGTACCATTTCAACTTATATATTGAGAGTTTTACTTTCAGAAAATACACTTTCCCTTATCTTCATTAGATTGTTTGTTGGTTTGATGTTTTACGCCGCACTCAGCAATTCTCCAGCTATATGGCGATGATTTGTAAATAATCGAGTCTGGACCAGACAAGCCAGTGATCAACATCATCAACATCGATCTACGCAATTGGGATACGATGACATGTGTGCCTTCTCTAGAGCAAATACCCAACTGTCGAAAGTAAAAATGCAACCCTTATTGTCACCAAATTTATGCAATCATATTACACAATAAACTCATGAATTAACCTTTGAAAAAAACCACAATAATATATCTAATCTCTACGTCTTTTAAATGATGCAATTAAAATGCAATACAACACGGCTATATGTCCCACACAGCCTTCCATAATAAAGGCCGTCATTTAAAAGGCGATCTGCCGTGCCACAGTAGCATAGCTTGTGAGAAGATTCATTTGTGGCAAGTTTCCAGCGATAATGACGAAGTTAATTCTTGTGGTGTTTTTGGCTGTCCTGTCCATAGCGGTCATTGCAGCTGACGGTAAGTACACGTCTTTTGTTTGTTTGTTTGTTTGTTTAACACATTATTTGATCCTTACAAGTTGATGTGTAAATGGGATGGCGCTATTAGACTCTCGTCATGTACAGACCCGTGAAGATCCGGGTTAGAATATTGACCTTCAGTAACCCATGCTTGTTGTAAGAGGCCACTAATGTGATCAGGCTCGCTGACTTGGTTGTCATGTCATCGGTTCCCAATTGCGCAGATCGATGCTCATGTTGTTGATCACTGGATTGTCTGGTCCAGACTCGATTATGTACAGACCGCCGCCATATAGCTGGAATATTGCTGAGTGCGGCCTAAACCTAAACTCACCCACTCACTCGTCATTTGCAATACCATGTCTGCTAATACTATGTTTGCAATTAAACTTTACAGACTCTTCAGTAGGACAATCGTATAGGTACTGACAAAATGTCAGATATTGTCACACTCTTTCTTTGCCGTGGAGATAAACAGCTCAGGTGAAACATTTCCCAAACTAGATCAATTCGAAGACTACATTGCTTAAATATTCCAGAAAAATACGTTAGAGAATATATAGTTTTCATATAGTTTAGCGATCTTTGACTGCAGTGTTCAGGTGTGGGGTAATTGTTCACAAGAACAAGCATTGGAGTAGGAAAGGTGAAATGTAGACGCACTGAGAACAATCTGTAGGGCTACTCATGGTACCAGTCTCCAGTCTCAGTACTACCACACAAACTGAGACTGCCTTAAAGGAATATATCACGCCTTTATCTGCAACATAATTAGTTTACCTGACACGCCCTGCGTCTGCACATTGTGACAACGTTCCCAGGTAAATCTCGCCGTCTTGGGACAAGATTGCCTGAAACCTAACCAGTTCCAAAACAAAAATACAGTTTTGCTGTAACTTTCCCTGTGACACGTGATATACTCTGAGATGCCACGGTAGCGTTCATCAAGTTGTTCTTCTATTAATTATACATAGATACAGTTTAATGGGTTATATTTTAAGGTTATATTGAGATCTCTCACTGTGTACATTACCTATAAGAACATTTGCGAAGTGACCTCAATAATCACCTTGAACTATTACATCCACCTGTCTTTATAAGACGTTTATTGTTTGGTTACAAGACTGAGCTGTTCGTCTGTCCATACAACTATTCATTATTGGTGTTCACTTGCCGCAGATTGTCCCCCCAACTGTAGCCAGAGCCAGTGCACCTTCATGGGATGTCAGGACTGTGACGTGGGCTTCTGCGCCTACCAGGAGGGCATGTAAGAAGAAAATAAGACATCCAGTCCCCTGCTTGTCGAGAAATGTCAGGACGAGGGACACTAGAACTGGGCTTCAAACATTATGTTTATGTTGGGATTTCGAATTCGAGGCTTAGGTGTGACAAGCGAACGCTTTAACCCCAAGGCTACCACGACGTCAGTACTTGTAGAGAGATATCAGGACGAGTGACACCAGAAATAGGCTTCACACATTCTTTCCACGTTGGGAATTGAATCCGGGGGTCAAGATTAACAAGCGAAGGTTTTAACCCCAGGGTTACCATACGGTCATTGCATGTGGAGAGAGTCGACTTTGCCTGTTACTGTGTGACCCGGTTGGCCGTGATTCATCGTGCCACGGAAGGCTACCAAGCTGCTCGTTCTATCAACCAACCACTGTTTTGCCTGGTCACACTCGAGTACATAAGGCCTCGATATAGCTGCAACAGTGCTGACTGCTCCACATACCGCCATTTACTTACAGAGACACTTCTAATGAAATGATAGTGGTCATGTGAGTGGTGAAATTCAAGTAAAATACGTAACAATAATGCCAGTCTAACAAAATATCAAGCGGACATTTGATGACAATAGTAACAAATATTTATGAAATTAATACCAACTTCAAAGACATGATTGTCACCAGTGTATACCACTAGTGCAACCGAAATGTTCATTATAGATACTTGTTATTCGGTGCCCAGAGACGGTATTCAGTGTAATGGTATTCTTACATTAAGTTTGATGCATAATGTGTCATATAAGGTTTCATATTATGGGGGTTGACATCTACTATAACATGTCTCAATCTACTGGTGGTAATAGGGTATCCATTTTGTCCCACAGAAAATTCAAATGCGTGAAAAAGTGCCCGGATGGACAGTACTGCCAAAGTACCTACCGTATGTGTGTCTAGGGTGAGTTCTCCATGTTTCTTGATGTACATGAACCGTCTTCTCATCTCATTACTTCACAGTCTATGTAAACTTAGGCTCAGTATTATTTGTTACACTGCTAAACTGAGACTCAGTATAGCAAGGTAACGAATAATACTGAGCCTAAGTTTACTTAGACTGATTACTTCAGGACTTCAAGCATCCCGCAAACACTTTCGTTGGTAGGACCCGAGGCAAAACTACTCAAATATACTGCAGCCTTCATTCATTAATAATGTCCACCGGCAAAACAAAGTACACCTGAAATTGGGTATGACTTAATAATTACAAACATCCAAGTCCATGATGCTCCCGTCAATACATCACCATACTACCCGTGAAGATCCGGGTTAGAATTGATCTTCAGCAACCCATGCTTGTCTCCCCATGTGAAGATAAGGGTTAGAATTGATCTTCAGGAACCCATGCTTGTCTCCCCATGTGAAGATCCGGGTTAGAACTGATCTTCAGGAACCCATGCTTGTCTCCCCATGTGAAGATAAGGGTTAGACATGATCTTCAGCAGCCTATGCTTGTCGTAAGAGGCGACTAAAGGGATCAGGTGGTCAGACTCGCTGACTTGGCTGACACATGTCATCGTATCCCAATTGCGTAGATCAATGCTCATGCTGTTATCACTAGATTGTCTGGTCCAGGCTCGATTATTTACAGACTGCCATATCGCTGGAGTATCGCTGAATGCGACATTAAACCGCAAACAATCATTACCATCCAATCACACGTTTATTTGTTTCAATTTTAGGAAAGGATTTGCGACATTGAACATGAAACATTGTAATGGACATCAAACATAACCCACTTAGATCGTCTTCAAATTTTGTCTCGAGAGTAACCTAAAACCCTATCCCCACATAGCAAGATGTCTACCACATCTAAAATGGTGCTCCTTCAACACTGCTACACTGGAACAGATTTTGTTTCAACTGTTTGGCCGCATGAAACACACGCGATTTTGTCTCGAGTACTGCAGCATACATGTAAACTTGGGTGTTGTTTTCTAGTATCAATGTTCCTGTGGTTCTGAACAGCAGTGACATCTTCATATTCATGTGGTGAGGATGTGCATCCTAAACATCTGTAGGAGACGGTTGATCAAAAATACTTGTTTTCAAATATAATTCTCACCCATATACTATATACCACAAACAGAATATAATAACTTCAAAATCAAGGAAGTGGACAAATTATGTTTAGTCCACAGAATATACTGCAGGAGGTTTGGATATTTTGGTCAGAATAGGTGGCCAATTCCTATTCCTGGTGACATAAAATAACACTCAGTTATTTACTCTGAGACGTTAAATGTACATCTTCTGTCCTTGTCTTTTCTTTGTAGACGAGTGAGTCAGTCAACTGGGTGCTGGAAGCGAGCCAAGCTGAAGGAACATCTGAACACTTCATTGGGCTTCTGGCATTGGTTATTCCTTGTTATAAGTATTCAATTATTGAATAAAAATACTTTCATAAACTGATGCATTAAACACTTGTTATTTGGGATTGATTTAATACTGATTTTATACTGTGAGGGGCGGTGGGTTAGCATAGTGGTTAAAGCGTTCGCTCGTCATGCTGAAGAGCCGGGTTAGATTCCCCACATGGGTACAATGTGTGAAGCAGATTTCTGGTGTCCCCTGTCGTGATATTGCTGGAATGTTGCTAAAATGCTGCGTAAAACCATACTCACTCACTCAGATAAACTGTGATGTGTTTCTTTGCTGTCTTAATGATGAGAGGTCTACACGTCTCCTTTCAACTCTCGCCCTATGGAGTTGATCACTTGATTGTCTGGTCCAGACTCGATTATTTACAGACCGCCGCCTTATAGCTGGAATATTGCTGAGTGCGGCGTAAAACTAAACTCACTCACTCCCTCACTCGCCCTAGGGAATCTCGAGAGGTGGGGTGAACTGGAAGTTAACGTCGCGTCCCAAACTGTTATATGTGTGTGGTTGCTTGTACTGGTCCAGACTTCTATCGAATTTACTGCCTGGGGGGATTAACATCACATGCCCCACTCAGACCCTTAATACTGACTTAACAAAAACAAGGGAGACTGCGGCTGTTTGTGAAATATTCAAAGAATGTCATCAATATGACACTAGGCATATGCTATTGATAACAAAATAGAATACATTTTGAGAAATGAATTTATGTCCTGGATGCTTTCAGCAAAATCACAAGACATCATTCAGGCCCTGATAATTCGATGCATGATATGTGAGTGAACGTAAGTTCGGGTTTTTTTTACTCTGAATATAATCATTCCACAATGACGAACGGAAACCTCAAAGTGAGATAACTCTGTCTCCCAAAAGTTTATATTAGCCGATAGATTTTTATCGTCTCACAATTTTTTTTGTGCGAAACTAAATTGGCCTAGATTTTGGGACACTTAGCTCAAGCCAGGGGCCAAGGGAAGTAATTCTGAGAGTTAGGACATGGACTTGAGATGTGAGCACATGGTCAGCTGGACTCCATGGTGTTAGGTGTGGGGGATTTGGAGTTGGAGGGTTGGCTTTAATGTTTGAGGATTTGAGGACCTGAATCATACATATTAATGTCAATCATTTAAGCACTGATGAAGAATAAAAGTCAAGTCAACTGTATTGAAGGTATTGGCATTTTTTGTTGAAGAAGTGCATGACGTGTGACTTTGAAGTTGAATTGAATCTTGAACTGAGTATAGACTTGATTAGAACTGAACAAAGGATTTGGAAACTACATTTAATTGACATTAATATTATTATGACTTTCTAGAATTGAATACTAGAAGAGGATATATTTTGAATGTGGAAAACAAGCCATAACTTAGCATGAGCTATCTTGAAAGTGTTAGACCAAAACGTCAGCAAAAATTTACTGACACAGGCTTAGAATATCATCAGAAGGAGAAATATGATAACTTGAAACTGACTTTGAGGAAAGTTATGAACAATTTGATGTGTGTGAATGAACTTATATCAGAGGGTGCAGATTATGAAGTCGTCAGAACTGAATACAGTAACTTTCTTCTTGTATTTGAGGAATTGTTTTGTGACGAAGAGGAATATTTCAGGCAAGCAAATGAACAAGAAAGACAAGAGTATAATGAGAAAACTGATAGCAAAAGAAATGAGCTGATGCTCTTAAAAGCTCAAGTTGACAGTTTAAGTGAGAATGAAGCTAGAAAACTGGCCAACAATACAAGAAGAATTGGTCCCCAAGATAGCGTCAAATAAAACTAGGTTATCACAGGTTACTTCAGTGACAGCTGCTCGCATTAGAGAGGAGCAGAAAAAGCTGAAGTCTGGGCTAAAATAGAAGCTTTGAAGAAATTACAGGATTTAGAAATCTCCAAGATGAAACTTAAAATGGAAGAAGAAAGAATGTACCTAAAAGGGAAATTGCAATAGCAGAAGCTAGAACAAAGGTTTTAGAAGATTTTGAAAATTCGAGTGTAACAAGTACCTGTAGGTCCCAAAGAATGAGACCAAGTCATGACAAAGGTATCAATACAGAACATAGAACTGGTAGTCATTCACCACTAAAGCAAGAGATACACAAGTCTGCACACAGTAGTGTCATTAGTGAAACCATGAAGAAAGAAGTAGATACCAGACCATATGTACGTGAGCGGGACAGTAAACAAATAGTTGATGAGAGACAGCAACTAACACAAGGCATGTTTAGAAAACAGTTTCACTGAACAGAACCCAAGTCACAAGGAGGTAAATAATAATCACTATAGAGACAATAGAAGAGATAGATTCTATGAAGAGGAACAGCCATGTTTTCAAGGTGGTTACATAAGAGACACTCTCAACCTGAACAGGAGGATACAGTCAGATTGGGAAGAGTTGAACTATGAAGCTAATTCTCGTCCTGAAATGCTTCAGCCACAGCAATTTGACAGAGCGGAGAGACAAACACTTAGTGGACCAACACCCAAACAGCACTCTGCAAATCCTGAGGAAGCAATCACAAGCGTCGTCAATCAGCTCCGTAAACCAGTTCCAGAAATCATCAAGTTCAGCGGTAATCTGTTGGAGTACAAGAGTTTTATTCATCACTTGAGGACAAAGGTAGTTGCTTATGCAGAAGATACAGATGAAACTATGAACTACTTGAAACAGTTTACAACTGGGGAAGCTCACAAAATTGTATCCAGCTTTAGCTACTTGTACTCACGAAGAGGCTATAAAGCTGCGATGAGAGAACTAGAGAGTCACTATGGTGATACAGAGACAATTGCATCAGCGTTCATCAAGAAGGCGCTAGGCTGGAACCCCATCAAGAATGACAATGTAAAGCACTTGACGAATTCTCAATTTTCCTCACTGAATGCATGAATGCAGTAGAAAGCATTGAAGCTATGAAGGTGTTAGAATACCCTGACAATATCAAAAGCTAGTCACGAAGCTGCCTTACTACTATCATGACAAGGGGAGAGCCTATGTGGAGAGACGAAGAAGTACAAAACAGCTGATAAGATTTCATCACCTTGTAGACTTTGTCAAGCTGGAAGCCAGAAAAGCAAACGACCCAATCTATGGCAAGTTGGCACAAAGGCCTGAACACAAACCAGTTTAGAAGACACAACACAGCAATAGGAATCCAGTATATAAAGACAAGCAAATCTCTTTGCTACTGATCTTCCCACCAAGCAGTACAGTCAGAGTGAAGAGTTACAGTCTCTGACAAGAGCACAAGCTTATCTTGCACTGTGTATTTTCTGCCAGTCAAACCAACATGGTGAAGAAAGGTGTGAACAGTGGAGATCTCTACAACATATCGCTGAGATCAACATACTGAGGAACAAAGGTCATTGCTTCAGGTGCTTGAGGCATGGACATGTCAGTTAGTCTTGTCCCAAGAGGGAAGTTGCAAAATGTAAGAAGTGTAAGGGTCAACACCTAAGCATTCTTGACATGGACAAGAAAGATGAAAAAGTTGACAGGCAGGACAAGGTTGTGACAAAGCAGGTCGGAGACAACAAAAGTCCACTGAGTGCTTGCGCCAAGCTTCACACGCAGGAAGATGACACAGGGGCTGGTGAAGTACAGTGCACTTTGGCTATTATCCCAGTCAAGGTGAGATACAAGGACAGTTTGAAGTACATTAAGACATATGCATTCCTTGATCCCGGGAGTAGCGCAAAGTTTTGCACAGAGACACTGATGAATAGGCTAGGTTGTGAAGGAAGAAAGAAGATGATATCTCTCGAAACTATTGGTAAGCCCCACACTATGTCAACCTATGAAATCAGCGGTTTTACAGTCTGTGAACTGGAAATGAAATCTATAATTGAGTTGCCTAAGGTTTATACCAAGGAAAAATTACCCGTATCAAGAAACCACATTCCACAACAAGATGATGTCTCAAAATGGTCGCACCTATCTGACATCAACTTAAGCAAGAAGAAAATGGAAATAGGACTATTGATCGGCAACAATGTGGCAAGCGCATACACACCCCAAAAAAGTGAGAACCGGCTGGGTAGTATGGAACCTGCTTCGAGATTCTGTGACTGATGTCAACAACATGCAATATGCCAACAGAATAGAAGTAGCTGCTGTAACAGAAGAAGAAAAAGTTACAACAAGATGTTGAAAGACTCGATGAATTACGATTTCCCGGAACGGACAATAGATGATAGAAAAGAATATTCACAGGAAGATTTGATGTTCCTCAACAAGGTGACAGAGTCATTAGATTTCAAAGTTGGACATTACACGATTGGATTGCCTTTTAGAAGTGACAACGTCAAGTTACCAAACAACTCACGTCAAGCACTACAACGCCTTGGAAATCTCAAGATTAAGATGAAGAAGAATGCAGAGTTTCATTCCGACTACACAGATTTCACTACCAAAATCATTGACAATGGCTATGCGGAACAGGTGCCATGCGATGAATTTAACAGAGGTGACGGACGAGAACCACACCATGACGTCTACCATCCCCAGAAGCAAAAGATCCGAGTAGTATTTGATTGCTCCGCATTACACCAGGGCATCTCTCTGAACAACCAGCTATTACAAGGACCTGACCTAACCAACAGCCTACTTGGTATACTGTTGAGGTTTAGAGAAGAAAGAGTTGCCATAATGGGGGATATAGAGGCAATGTATTATCAGGTGAAAGTTCCAAAAGATGGTCAAGATTTCCTACGATGCTTCTGGTGGCGACATGTCTAAATATCCCTTGACCTACCACATGACTGTTCACTTGTTTGGAGCCATCTCCTCACCGACCTGTGCGAACATAGACCTCAGACAAACTGATATTGGCAATGAACCTTCCCTTCAGAAGAAGTCATGAACCTGATCAAGAAAAACTTCCATGTGGACGATTTCATAAAGCCAACGTGAACAGATGAGAAGGGGAAAGCACTTACCCAAGAAGTAACTCGGCTATGTTCTAATGGAGGCTTCCATTTGAACAAATGAATCAGTAACAGCCATAGTGTCATGAACTCAGTACCCATCA